AAAACAAAACACGAAAAACGCAACAAAAATGGGACAAACAAATAGATACCAATTTGCCAAATTATCATCAATATCGCATGACAAGTTATTATGGGAATATGCTAAAATTTAAAAATCATATCATCTTAATTTTATAACAAATCAACCTAAAGTTCGACTTTCATACTCGTACCAAATAAAATTCATACCACTTATTTTGTTTTCCAAATTTTCAAATATACTTCTATCCATACCACATAAATATCATACAATTTAATTTCAGACATTTCATACTAATATAAAATCATCTACTTTATACCATAAATTTAGACATTTGTTAATAACAACATATTTCCTATAAAAAATAAAAATGGTCATCAGATACCTCAAACAAAATTGCCCACTTTATACCAAAAATGAATTTAATAATTTGTCAATTTTGTACTATAAATTGACTAGTTAATTTCTAGAGGCATAATTTCTTAAAAGATTACCAAGTTTAGGATTTTTTAATTTTTTGGAGGCACTTTAGTTTCTATTTCAAGTAAATACAAAACCAAGTCCTAGTGTGAGAACCGCTATTTTGAATTGTATGTAGTGCTATGATTGATTGTATTTTGTGCTATTTTTAATCATGATGTATTTATTAAAAATAGCAACACAATTTATGTTAGCATTTGTAAAAATGATAGCACCATGTAAGATTAAAAATAGCATCATACACAATTGAAAGTAGCATCAAATATGGTTCTCACGGTTCTCACACCAGGATTAGTTTTTATTTGAACCAACCCCTATATATATATATATATATATATATATATATATATATATAGAGAGAGAGAGAGAGAGAGAGAAGGGATCATACGAGAATGGTAGAGAGTGAAAGAAATAAGAATGATTTTGTACCAATAGATCCAACATATCAATGGTCATGATCTAGTCAAATATTAAATATGACAGTCAATATGTTGTGGCAATTTTGTAAATAAATGTATAATTCGTGGTCAAATATAGTCTTTTGACTACAAATTAAGGATAAATTGGACATTTGTTACCAACCCATCAGCATGTGGGGTCCACCACCACCTAACAATATCTCTAACACCAACATACCCATCGTCCCTACCCTATTCGTCAATATATTTCACCTACAAACACACACACACATGCACAAACACACACTGCACACACACACCCTTCACACTCACGATCGGGCACACTGTCGGACATTAGATTCGCCGCCCGGCGACGGCTGCCGTTAGACGACGGTGCCACCACAGTACCCCTCTCTCTCCAGAATTCCGACGATAACACCTACACACCCCCGTCGCCGCACTTCCCCAATCTCCCCCTCTCCAGAATTCCGGTGGTCACGGCTACACAGCCCCGCCGCCACCTCCCCATCCCGGTCGACGCGCCTTCTCAACCCGTCTGACGCGCCTTGACAGCCCGATCGCCGAGCATCAACAGCCCCGCTGCTGCGCCACTGTCGCCTGTCATCGGAGGCGATGGTGATGGCTATCGGTCATTGTATCTACCGGTTTGGTCGGCAAGATGGTGATGGTTGTCAACCAGACGTTTCCCAGGCGTGTCCACGAGTGCAGAGATGGTGACGGGGATCGGAAGTGACGGCCAACGCGGTGGCCGGAAGGGATGGCCGTGAAAAATGACCGAGACTGAATAATTACATTTTTAGGATTTGGACATTGATGCGTGGTCTTTTTTTTTTGAAAAATGGACATAGTATAGGGACTATTTGGCAATTAAAAAATTTTAATTAGATTTGGATCTTGGATTGTGTGCTTGCACGCGTGAGAGATGTTTTTGAAGCTTTTTGGTTGGTTAGTGAGTCATGTTGCATTTTCTTAGGACTACATGATTTAATGAGAAGCCACAGTAAATATCATTGTTAATTTATTGTTATGATTAGTGTTGTTATTTTCATTACTGTTATTATTCTTCCATGACTGCTAATTCGAAACTATACGGTTCTAATCACGGTTATTATCCGAGGAAACAATTGCGTTGACGTAAATTTAGTTAGAACGGGTACCATGCCATTAAGTTATTCGGTCACATTCGGACCATTTGTAATTAAAACATTGGGTTTAATCAAGATTATAAAGTGTTCTGCAGTGTGTACAAAATGAATTTACAACAATTTGTGCTAAAGCTCACTCTTTACATTAAAAAAAGAAAAAAAAAATAAGCTCACTCTCTACATCTACATGCCTGACTGAAATTCGGTTTCACCTGTGTCATTTGGTCCGCTGACAATAAGAGCCTGAACGATCAGCGAGTTCACCTGTTTTCTCAACAAACCATTACCGACTAAGACGCTCATAAACATTTGCCTCAACTCCTCATCTAAAGAACTTGTTCCATTGTGCAACTCGTTAACTGTATCACTGGTTAAGACTAAACCATCACATTCTTGGGCTAACCGTTGAACCTGGTCATTGTTAACACAGTAATATGGTCCAACTTTTGACAATTTGATAAGTCTCAAGGACTTAAGTGCAACTTCATAAATTCTTGATATATTAAAATCTAATTTATGTGTTAAATATGATTTATTAAAAATTTAATAATTGTACATTATTGTTCAAACATTGCAATCATCGCATATTACTGTTCATTTCATTGCACATTATAGTTTAGTTCATTGCACAATAATGATAAACAAAATGCACAATGCGTGGGTGTATATACACACTCAAATTCAAAAAATTACAAAATTTAACAATGCGTTGCATAATACACACAAATTGAATAACATATAATTGAATACAAAAAATATTATTTAAAAGTAGGTTTTTTTAGTTATTCGAAAAAATAATGTCGATTTCAAACTGAAATAATTGCGATTTTAGAAGTAAAAACAAATTATCGAACCGAAAAAAATAATTCTGAATTCTTAAAGACAGAAATGGGGAAAGCACCAGAATATCTGACTGCAATTGGGTTCCATCTATCAACAAACCATCTCCCTCCCTTATTCCTATTGTTAGAGACCACTTAATCTGGGTTAAAGATCTTTTGAATCAGGCTGGAACAGAGTGGAATGGATGGCTGGTTCAGCAGGTTTTCAATGAGAGTGACAGGAATGCTATCCTCAGTATATCCTCTCTTAACCCTCACAGGAAGGATAGGTTATATTGGGGCCTTGATAAGAAAGGCAAATTTTCAGTCTCTGGCACCTATTCCCATCTCAGTGGCCTTAAAGTTCTGAAAGTTGATATTCCAGAAAGCAGCACCTCTGCCACAAGCAAGCCAACTATCAAGTACAGAATATGGAACTTGAGAATTGCTAGGAAGCTTAAACACTTTGTGTGGAAATGCTTCTCTAGCACACTCCCAGTGGCTATTTATCTGAAGAAAAGAAAAGTGGAACTTGATACAACCTGCTCAATTTGTGGTGTAGCTGCTGAGACAGTGGAGCACATTTTTTTTGAATGCCACAGAGCAATCAAAGTCTGGCAATTATGTCCTATTAACTGGGATGGTTTACTTGGCTATACAGACACATTTAGAGCATGGTGGTATCAGGTTTGTACTCTTGACAACTCTGAGGTCTCCGAAGCAAGAATTCAACTCACTACGTACATGCTTTGGTGGCTTTGGATATCACGGAATTTATGGATCTTTCAAAAGACATTAATCCCTGAACACAGCCTGATCCAAATGGCTCAGTCTGACTGGTTGGAATTTTCTTTGGCAGTGGCTTCTTCATAGTTTCAGATTTTCGGTTTCTTGTTTTCTTTTTTTCTCTTTTCAGTTAAGCCCCTTACTAGGCTTTGAAGCAGTGGTGGGGGTTTAACTCTTTTGTGGTGTTTTCTGTGATGTACTTGTGTTTTTAGAGTTTTGTATCTGTTTAGTCGAGGTTCTAGACCGCTATATGCGTGTCTCTCATTTTTATGTTTTTTGTTTGGTTGTATCGCTTGTATTCAAACTATGTTCGCTTCTGTTTTTAATATAGTTGCATCTGTCATTCCAGGAAAAAAAAAGTAATTCAATTGATTAAGTGCAATGCGATAGCCATTATTGTCCAATTCATCTAACAGTATAATGCACTTACAGTGCATATATTTGTTAATAATTTGATCTAACCCAAATTAAAATTGTGGTTAAATAATCGGTAACTGCAATACAATAAATAATATAAATAATTTAATATTTAAATTATAAAAAATATATTTAGTATTTTTAATATTTATATTTTTCTAGCTGAAAATAAATAAATTTTTGTAATATA